CAAAGTCTTTATAAGCATAATGCTTCGATACTAAAGCGATATCTCGTCCTACCGACATTCATCTGACAGGAAACTCTCTACCAAAAAGTAATGAATCAAAACTACGAATCACAGCCTCGGATACAATGGATTTGCCTAGAGAATGCTGCATAATTAGGCATGCAAGTGAATAGACATGCACGAAACGATTTGAGCACATCCACGAGTTCCATAAACAAAAAGAAGTCGTTGAAGTGACCTATGCTGAAGGTGGCACCCTTTGATGTAGTCATCTAGCCTCTCCAACTCGTGATTAGACATCATCCCTTCATTCATTTTCCCTCTCAACCGTGTTTATAGAGTAAATAAGTCGTCTTTAGCGCACATAGTGTAAAATATACCCGACTTTGTGAGGAATAAAACATCCTTTCCTCAGGATGTCACGAAACGTTTTCTTGAAACCTAATTAAACCTTGACATCTCTTCAAATATGTTTGCGAACAAAATAGTAATGTGTCACGAATTTAAACATCTCCACTTCTGTTAAGTATTCAGCTGTAGGAACGAAACTTACCACTAGGGATTGTGTATTGAATGAAACAGTCGCAATCATTGAAGAGGAACATGTCAACTCCAAACTCCTTCTGCAGGCTCTCCGCTAAACTCGGACGAAAGTCGGTCAGCGAGAACAGGCTGATGTCCAAGGAGTGCTTGGCTGGGCAAAGGAAATATGCAAGGCTTTGTTAAATTTGTGCTTGTTTATTGTTGCTACTACCCCATTCCCCTCCCTACTTGTAGTATTTTGGTATTTTTGTATGATAGACTACAAGGAGAGGTAGTGCAATGCATTCCTCACCAGAAATGCTAATCAGCTCTTCGGGGTTTGATGCCAATTCAAGCGCCTCGTTGCCATGCGACTGGCTTAAATAGCAACAGGAGTCACGACCACCACTTATGATGCTGGGCTCTTTCCATCGAATGAAATCAATGCATCGCCAATCTGTACATCCTGCTACTGCCGTTTCCCGATCAACTTCGAGTAGGTTGGAGATTTGATTCGGTGTTCCGGCTGAAAATCGAGTCCGCAACTGACCACAAACCTGATTCGTTGAAGGCGAAGTCACTTGGAGCCAAGCCTCCTCTTGAAGAAGGGGAACCTTAAGAAGAAGAAAAGAAATAAAAAGAAGGAGAAGAGGAAGGGTTCAAACAAATATCTAAACTATGTTTATGCGTTCCTCTCCAC